AGCATGGCCTTCTCTCAGCCAAGCCATCCCTGGAGGGACCCCATGAGTAGGAGGGGAGTGTTGATTCTGGGATCTACCTCCTGAGACCTCAGCATGCAGCTGAGCACAGAGAAAGCCCAGCTCTGAGCTCTGTGGTTACTGTTCCCTGGCCTGCGCCTGGGACAGTCTTACCTACCCTCTTCATTACAGGGTCATTGCCATGTACAAGGAAGATCCCAACCACACAGACCCAGCTGGTGACCAGCGATGATAAGTACAGCCTCTCCTGCAACCCCTTTCTTTCCTCTCAATCCTAGGGCTGCAGGATGCCCACCTTCCTCAGTGTGCTCCTGCCCAACAGCACACCCACAGCACAGTGCCCTCCTGTCGCCCTGGGGTATCCTCAAACTCAGGCACCTTAGGCCTGGGTGGCAGTGCTCTGCCTACTGCCAATGAGGGACATGATCGAGAAGGCCAAATGGAACCAGAGACGAATGACAGCTATGTAACACATATACTTGAAGTCAAGATATTGAGAGACGTACAATAAACTTTAGTAAGTATTATTTAAGGAAAAATGGAAATTATCAGGAATATGAAGTAAGAGTGAAGACTGTGTATGGACAGCAGGAGATGTAGCCAGGAGGGACACAGAGGAGTCTCCAGCCTGGAAATTAGACACAGGTCAAGAAGAAGGAGACCCAAAATACAACAGAAAGCTTAATGCAACAGAGGATGGAGGTTTGACCCAGCCAGCACTAAGGGGTCCCCCCAAGGTGAGGACACGTGGACTCCAAAGAGCTGTGAACTAAATTCCCTGCAGGTGAAGAGCTAGGGAGGGTTATGACACAGATGCAGAGGAGAGGAGATCCACCTTTCACAGGGGGAGTCTGGAGCATCAAGGGCAAGAGGAAAACTCTAAAACTCTGGCAGAGGAAGAGAAAATCTTTGGATAGCAGGGTGGGGGCCAGGCTCTCAGCCCCTGAGGAGCCACACAGACAATGGCACGTTGTTCTAGGGCAATGAAGGGAGAGCGCTCTGGACTGGATTTTCCTTGCAGCCCTTCAGATAGCATTCAAACTCAAGGCTGCAAAAACTATGATATACTCAGACTCTAAACCCTCCCATGGTGACAGCATTTTACGGGGATGACAGGAGGAGAAAGAAGCAAATGTGAGAGACCCCAGAGATGAGTAATACCCACAGGATCAGAAGAAAGAAAGAGGGGGCAGAGCCTGAGTCACTGGATTTAGATGGGACTGGCCTCAAAGGTGGTACTGTCAGAGATCACCATGAGGAGACCTCGAAATTCTGCCAAAGGTGAGAGTAACCCCCCCCAAAAAAGGCAAAAAATCAAGTAAGATTCAGGAGTGGTGGCGCATTCCTGTAATCCCAGCATTCAGGAGGCTGAGGCAGGAGGATTGCCATGAGTCTGAGGCCAGCCTGTGCTACAAGGTGAACTCAAGGCCAGTTTGAACTACATAGTGAGACCCTGTCTCAGAAAACAAACAAACAAATGAGTAAAGGTAAGAAGTGAATAGGAGTGTGTGGGCTTGTAAGCAGCCAGGATATGAACAAAGGACAACATACAAGGGTGATCAAAATATACAGTAAATATCTAAATTTATTACAATAAAAGACACATTGCTGTTAAACCCCTTCAAAATCCTGCCCCTTGTTTTGAAAACTCTTATCCCATGCCACTTTCTAAAGCAGTTCTGGAAATTCTCTTTGTGAGTGTTTTTGTGGCTGCCTCAAAGTCCTCAGATGATTCAAAGCATTTATGTTAATTATTGTCAAAAAGCGCTGGGCCTGGTGGTACACGCCTGTAATCCCGGCTCTTGGGAGACTGAGGGAGGAGGTTTGCCACAAGTTCGAGGTCAGCCTGAACTACATAGGGAGACCTGGTTTTAAAACACAAAACAAAACAGGGCTGGGGATTTAGCTCAGTGGCACCACCACCTGCTTTGCAAGGGCAAGGTCCTGAGTTCAATGCCCAGTACCAAAATAAAACGAATTATTGTCAAAAAGAAAAAATTACACTGTATCCTCATTCATTTTATTCACCAGATCTGACACCATGCAACTTCTTACTCTTCCCCAAAGTGAAACTGACCATGAAAGGTAAATATTTTGAATCAATTCAGAACATTAAGACTGCCACAACAGTGCAAGTAAAGATGCAAAAGAGGTAAGAATGATGGGAAACCAGGCATGATGGTGCAAGACCATAATCCCAGGTCTCTGGAGGCTGAGGCAGGAGGATTGCCATGAGTTTGAAGCTGGCCTAGACTATATAGTGAGAGCCTGTCTTAAAAAAAAAAAAAAAAAAAACAGGGCTTTATGGGTGATCAAAATATACAGTAAATATCTAAATTTATTACAATAAAAGACACATTGCTGTTAAACCCCTTCAAAATCCTGCCCCTTGTTTTGAAAACTCTTATCCCATGCCACTTTCTAAAGCAGTTCTGGAAATTCTCTTTGTGAGTGTTTTTGTGGCTGCCTCAAAGTCCTCAGATGATTCAAAGCATTTATGTTAATTATTGTCAAAAAGCGCTGGGCCTGGTGGTACACGCCTGTAATCCCGGCTCTTGGGAGACTGAGGGAGGAGGTTTGCCACAAGTTCGAGGTCAGCCTGAACTACATAGGGAGACCTGGTTTTAAAACACAAAACAAAACAGGGCTGGGGATTTAGCTCAGTGGCACCACCACCTGCTTTGCAAGGGCAAGGTCCTGAGTTCAATGCCCAGTACCAAAATAAAACGAATTATTGTCAAAAAGAAAAAATTACACTGTATCCTCATTCATTTTATTCACCAGATCTGACACCATGCAACTTCTTACTCTTCCCCAAAGTGAAACTGACCATGAAAGGTAAATATTTTGAATCAATTCAGAACATTAAGACTGCCACAACAGTGCAAGTAAAGATGCAAAAGAGGTAAGAATGATGGGAAACCAGGCATGATGGTGCAAGACCATAATCCCAGGTCTCTGGAGGCTGAGGCAGGAGGATTGCCATGAGTTTGAAGCTGGCCTAGACTATATAGTGAGAGCCTGTCTTAAAAAAAAAAAAAAAAATAGCCAGGGATTTAGCTCAGTGGTTCCGCCGCCTGCCTCAAAAAAGCAAGGACTCGAGTTCAATCTCCAGTACAAAAAAAAATGATGATCCCAGTAATGAATGTACCTGTACTGTCTACCTAGAATGTACCAATAAATTAAGTTTTTAAAAATGATGAGATAATTGTGTTGAGCAATGGCAATGTATCTTTTACTATAATAATTTTTTAAAATTTAAACATTCATTACATGTTTAAATTACTATCTAGTCAGGTGTTCTGTTATTCACAGTTAAATGCAATTCTAACTGATACCAGTTCCTTATAAGCATCCTAAAGAATAAAACAGATGAAGAAAACACAAAAAATTAAAAAATAAACATTCATTGTATTTTTGATGATATGTCATATAACTTATTAAATCAGCAAAATAAAATCTGATGTGTCCAATGAAAAATAGGAAAGGAGAATGAAAATATAAAAATAATAATATGTAAAATAATAATAAAATAATAAAAATAATATTATGTAAAATAAGATGACAGAAATCAGTGCCAGCATAACAGCAGGTACTTAATGTGAAGTGCTTAAATGATTCTGGGTTTGGATTTGTAAACAAAATATACAAGACTCAACATATTGGCAAAAGGGGCACAGTTTTCCTAATACTAGAAATTAAACCCAGGGCCATAACATTGAGCTATATCCCCGGACCTTTTTATACTTATTTACTTTTTAAATTTTCAGATAGTGTCTGACTAACTGGCCCAAACTGAGATCAATCTTTAGATCCTACTGCCTCAACCTCCCCAAGTACTAGGATTATAGATGCCCTGCACCATAACAGGCTTAAAGAAACACTTTTAAAATGCCTATCATCAAAAAATCAAATAATAACAAGTGCTGATGAGGTTGTGAGAAAAGGAACCCTTCTACATGATCGGTGGGAGTGTAAACTAGTACAACCACTGTGGATATCAGTGTGGAGATTCCTCAAAACATTAAAACTAGAAATTCCATTTGGCCCAACTACTGTATTCCTCTTCCCAAAAGAGTTAAAGACATCATATGACAAAGATATATGCACACCTATGTTTATAGCAGCACAGTTCATAATAGCTAAGCACTGGAAGCAGTCCATATGCCCATCAACAGATGAATGGATAAAGAAAATGTGAGTATAACTCTGCCATTAAAGGATAAAGTTGAGTCATTTATAGGAAAATAGATGCACCTTGAAACCATACTTTTAAGCAAAGTAAATCAAACAAGCTTAAATATCATGTCATTTCTCTTATATGTATAAATGCATGAAAGAGAAAAATAAAAAGATAGATAATAGGAAACAGGGTGATAGATCTTTTGAAAATGGGAAGGGGACAGAGAGACTGGGGACAGAGGAGAATAGAAAGAATTAGGACGGGTCAAGCCCATGAACCAACTCCCTACAATGAATGTAATCATTATGTATTGCAAACATGTGCTGACCTCCCCCCCACTGGGGATCAAACTCTGTGCTTTGTGAGGCAGGTGTGGAGCTACTGAGCTAAATCCCTGGCTCTGCAAACACGTGCTAACAAAAAAATAAAATGAAGACACACAAGAACCAAAAGAAAGGCTGGGTGTGGTGGCACATGCTGGTAATCTCAGCTACTCAGAAGGCTGAAGCAGAAGGATGGTGAGCTCAAGGCCAGCCTAGGAAATTAAGTAAGACATTGTCTCAGAAAAAAAAAAATAAAAAGGGCTGGGAGCTCAGAAGTGGAGCTCCCCAGGTACCACACACACACACATACAAAATGGACTTAATCTCTTCTATGATTAGTTAGATGGGAGAGGTTTCACGGTTGGAATCAAACCCTAAAAATAATAAATAAGCTGTCAGACCATGAAGGGAGGCCCCACACACATTTGCCTGATAACACGTACTACTACAAAGACTCTCCAAAGGCTGAGATGCACCTTTGTTTTTGACGAGACTCTTCCCAAGGATTCTGACAATGTGAAGAATTCCAGATAAATGGCTTCCATGGAGACATCTCCCAGCAACAGTCCTGTCATTGATGAACAATCACCAGCTCCTGCAACAAGCCTCCTCCACTAATGAGCTTTGTTTCAAAACAACTGTGTGGATGCCTCCCTTTGGGCTGTAAAGGCTTTCCCTTGCTTCAGTCTCCCAGGATGGGCCTATGAGCATCACAAACACACTGTCCTGGGTTTGAAAAGCCCTGCTGTTTCCCATTAAACTCATTTTCTTTAGGGAGTCCCTCCATTATTTAGGTTGGCATAGAATTGTGGACAGGTGTCTTACAGGAAAGGAGGGTTGTCATATTGCTTTTAAAAAGAACCAGTAGAGAGGGCCGGGGATTTAGCTCAGCAGTTCCACCGCCTGCCTTGCGAGCACAAGGACCTGAGCTCAATCCGCGGTACAAAAAAAAGAAAAAAAAAAAAGAAAAAGGACCAGTAGAACATATAGCACCCCAAGGCCCCCAAATATTTAAGGCAAACCAAGAGCAAATAGTGTACACCTCAGGGAGACATGATATAAAATGCTATACTGAAGATCCAAGCAACATAGTTTAAAATTTAATTTTTTCAGATGCCAACAGACTCAAAACATGTACCCCACAAAACAAACACATGCTTGTGGATGCCAAAAGACGTTTTTCAGTTACCAGGCCGAGAGATACACTAGAACATTCCAAATGGAATCACAGACTGTACCTTGAATATTAATAACCTCTAACAACAAAACCCCATGTGCGACAGCTCCTTATTCATGGGCCACCTAACCAGAGAGTGTGATGCACAGGCCCCCAGCCAGGACCATACTTCCTCCTGGTCCTAGCAGCAAGTTGTGGCTGTGACCAGGTTTGGGCCAATGAGCCGTTTATTGTCCATTTACCTTAGCCACCTTCTCTCTTCCCATCAGCCAGGATGCACAACAGAGACCAGAGCTTTACCCCAGGGCAAGAGGAAGCAGCTGCCTAAGTCACAGCAGAACTATAAAGGGATGCCAGACCCCACATCCACACACAAACACACTGATCCATGACAGAGAACCCAGCTTCTCTTATCTAAGCCCCTGTGTTAATGAGTCTCTTTGTAGCCCAACCCAGCCCATGCCTCAGTCCATGTACAACCCACAGCTAGAAACTAAACAGCATGGTATCAAATAACTGTATTAAAAAGCAGGGCCAGGCATGGTGGTGCATGCCTGTAGTCCCAGCACTCGGGAGGCAGAGGCAGGAGGATTGCCCACGAGTTTGAGACTAGCCTGGGCTGCACTGTGAGTTCAGGGCCAACCTGAGCTACAAAAAGTGAGATCCTGTCTCAAAAAACCAATAAATAAATAAATAATAAATGGGAATTACATCCAGGCATGGTAGCACATGCCTGTGATCAAAGCACTTGGGAAGCTGAGGCAGGAGGATTGTCTTGAGTTTGAGGCCAACCTGGGCTACACAGTGAGTTCAAGACCAGCCTGAACTGCACAGAAAGACTCACCACAAAAACCAAAATATAAATAAATAAGCGAAATGAGAATTAGGAGCACAATGTAAAATAAGACTAAAGACAAAGCATTACATAACACATTTTGTTGAGGTACAGATAAATCAGTCTTTTGAAGTAATGTACTATTTTAGAAACATTTTTGGCTGGGGATTGAGCTCAGCAGCACTGTGCCTGCCTCACAAATGCAAGGTCCCAAGTTCGATTCCCTGCACCAGGGGGTGGGAGGATTGAACTTCACCTATTTTATTTATTTATTTATTTATTTGGTACCGGGGATCAAACTCAGGTCCTTGAGCTTGCAAGGCAGGCAGCGGAACCACTGAGCTAAATCCCTGGCAAACTTTACCTATTTTAGAAACATTTTATCAGGAAATAAGAGAAAATAAAAGCAAAAGAGTTAAGAACACCACTTGAGGGCCGGGGATTTAGCTCAGCGGTTCAGTGGCCTGCCTTGCAAGTGCAAGGACCTGAGTTCAATCCCTGGTACCAAAAAAAAAGAACACCACTTGAGCAATTAACAAAAGGATAAAGTAAACCACAGCCAGGCAGGGGGGGCATATACCTGTGATCCCAGCTCTCAGAGACTGAGGCAGAAGGATTGTTATGAGTTCGAGGCCAGCCTGAATTACAAAGCAAACCCTGTCTAAAAATTAATAATAAATAAGTAAATACACACACACACACATTTACATAAAAAGAGTAAGTCAAAGGAATATGCAATAAATACATAATTATGTAAGACAATACATCAGTGAAACAAAACATCAAAACTAATAAGGAAAAATAAAACCAAAAGCCGCTTTTCAAAAAGATTAAGATAAACAGGCTGTTGGTAAGAATGATAAAAAATGAGAGGGAAAAATGAAAATTAAAAAATTGTCATAGCAATAAAAAGGGAATGCAGAAACTTCTAAAACAGGAATGTCATAATAAGGCTTTTAAATTTTCTAGATATAATGGTGTTGTGATTTAGACCAGGAATGTGCACAATTTAACACCTCTGAATTGTTTATTTCTGAAAATGTCCTTTTAATATTTTCCAGCTGCAGCAGACCACAGGCAGCTGTACCTGCTGAAAGTGAATGGGCTGAGAGGGAGAGCTATAGCTGGTGTTTGATAGGGCAGCTGTACCAGGTGGATGTAGGTATCTAGTGGCTGTGTGGTTGTGTTGTTTCTGCATATGCTTCAATCCTCCACTATGAAAACTTTAAAGAAATAACAAAACGAATGGGTTTCACACCCATGTCATCAGCCAGGCCCTCAGATCCTTCCAGAGACTTTATAGATTCTTTGCACCTCTTTGCTTTGCGCAGCTGGAACTGTTTTTCTTGACTTAATCATTAGTGTTTTGGACACTCCAGTATCTTCAGTGTCTTTTTCTTGGGCCATTTTGGTCCTTGAAAAGATTAGCCAGGTGCCTGCCTACTCCATCAGACTACTTAGCTATGGGTGTGCCCAATTTAACCCTTAACCTCAGCCTGAGATATAATCGGCTGTTGTCACTCAACGGATTTCAGCTTGAGGTTGGGAAACAGTTGTTTCTTCCAGCTTTATAAACCCCTGACGCTATGGACTGGCTCTCTTCCCCTTCATTCCTACTTGCAAACCAGCCTGCTCTTGTCTAAGCACCTCTCTCTCTAGGTGTAATGCACATACCATAAAATCCATCCCTTGAGAATGTACAATTCAGTGGTTGTTAGTATAATCATAAGGTTGTGCAACTATCATCACTAACTCCAAAACATTTACCATCTAAAAAGAAACCCCATATCCTCTGGGGTTTTTGCTTTGTAGATAGTGTCTCACTGTGTCCTCGGCAGGGCTCAAATGACTCCCCTGACTCAGTCTCCTGAGTGCTTGGGATTGCAGGTGCACACCACAGTGCCTGACACCCTGTAAGTTTTTGTTTCGTACCAGGATCAAACTCAGGTCCTTGCACTTGTGAGGCAGGTGGCAGCACCACTGAGCTAAATCCCCAACCTTACCCCGTAAGTTTTAACAGCAACTCTCTACACCTGAGACCACAAACCTTCTGCCTGGTCCCTCTGAACCTGCCTACTCTGAGCACCTCCTTCAATGGAACCATAAAATACATGGTCTTTTAGATCTGGCTTCTTTAACCCATATATTCTTCTCAAGACTCACCTATGTTGCAGCATATGTTAGTGATTCGTTCCTGTACATGGTTGATTTCTATTCTGTTGTGTGGAAACACTATATTTTCTTTATTTACTCATCCACTGATGGCTATTTAGGATTTCACTTTTTAGCCACAGTGAAAATTGCTGCTCTGAACACTAATGTATAAGTTTGGGCTGGACATATGCTTTCTATACTCCTAAGTATATCTCTAGGGGTGGAACTGATGGGGATATAGTAAGTCATGTTTTACTTTTTGAGAGCTCATTATTTTCCAAAGTGGCTACACCATTTCCCACTCCCACCAGCAATATATGAAGCTTTTAGTTTCTTCAGGTCCTCACCAAAATTTGTTATTTTTTATTTTTAAAAGTTAATTTAGAGTTTGATCCCGGTACAAAAAAAAAATCAGTTAAGTCCATCCTATGCATATATAGTGATAGCTCTCAGTGGTGTTAATTTGCATTTCCCTAATGACTCATGACAGGGAGCATGTCTGAGCCTCTCTGCCATTTGCAAGCCTTTGTCCACCTTTAGCTTCTTTTTTTCTTTTTTGGTACCAGGAATCGAACTTGGGACCTTGCACTTGCCAGGCAGGCACAGTGCCACTGAGTTACATCCCTTTGTCCACCTTTAAATCGGGTTGTCTGTTTATGTCGTTGAGTCACGAGTGCCCTTTTTGTATTCTAAGTACAAATCCCTTGTCAGATAAAATATTTCCAGATATTTTCTCCCATTTTGTGTGTTGTCTTAATTTTTTAAGATAGCATCCTTTGCAGCACTGATGTTTTGTTTTGTTTTTGGTACCAGAGATCAAACTCAGGGACTCATGCCTACCAGGCAGGTGGTGAGCCTCTGAGCTGTATCCCTGGCCCAGCACTTTGAGTTTTAAATTTGGATGAAGTCATGTTTATTTGGGGTCCTATAGCGACTTATGCTTTTATGTTATACCTAAAAAGTCATTCCTTGGTTCAAAGTAACAAATATTTTTCCCTGTTTTCTTCTGAGAGTGTAATAGTTTTAGTTCTTCCATTTAGATGTTTGATCCATTTTAATTTAGTTTTAATATCTGGCATGAAGAAAGTGGCCAGTTTCATTCTTTGCACATAGATATCTCTGGTCCACCACCATTTGCTTAAAAGATTGTTTTTTTTTTTTCCCTCTGACTGGACTGGCACTCTTGTCCAAAATCAGTTGATCACAAATGCATGAATTGATGCCTGGACTCAGTTCTTTTTCATTTTTCATGGCCCTTCCCACACTCTGTTGGTTATTGTAGCTGTGGGGAGATTTTGGAATTGGTAAGTGTGAGTCCTTCAGTATTGTTGTTTCTTAGACTTGTGTAGCAATTCTGTGTCTCTGGCAACTCCATATGAATTTTAGGATCACTCTGTTCATT